TATGCACCTTGCCTCTGAAACATCATCATTCCCAGTACACTCATCAGGCTCCCCATTGGTGTCTTTGGTTTGGTAACTCCAGATCTCTTGGCACACATTAGGAGAATGCCCGGGTTCTTCCCCGGGAACACAGCCATTCTGAAACTCTTTGTTAATGCAGAAGGCTGCTGTGTTGGTAAGTCTACATATTCTATGGAAAGTTCTTGGTGGGTTCGGCAGCACTTCCTTGAAGAAGTACCTTTTGCTGTCTGGGCTGCATGTAGAACTGATGATGAGCCTCACCAGCCACTACCAGGAACACCATACCTCTCTCTGCTGCATTATATTTTTATTTGGAAAACAATAACTATGACCCAGAATATTTAGAGGGCATCATGGAAATGAGAACTATAAAATTATTTGGAATATGCCCATAGACAGCCTCAGGCATATCCAAGCCAACAAACCTGATCTCTTCCTTTTTGATAAAGCCTTTGAATGTACTTATAACATTGAATTTTCAGTCCTTTTTGACAGCAATGTGATTGAACAAATTCAAGAAAAACATGGCAAATATGTGGACCACGCCTTTGAACCGTCTCACTTGCATCTCAAGTACACTCATCAGGTTTCTCATTGTTCTCTTTGCCCTTGGTTTGGTTTCTCCTGATCTCTTTGCGCAGATAAGGAGTGTGCCTAAAATCTCCACCTGTAGCACCACCTTTCAGGCACTCTTGGGTAATGGACAAGGCTCTGCGTGTTGAGGGTTTCCATATACCAGTACTCCACAAAGTTCTTGGTGGGTTCAACTTGGCAACACCTACAGGGAGAGATCCCACCATATCATACAAGTAGGAGTTTAAGGGTCTTGCCACCTCATCAGAAGCAGGCCTGTAGAAACGGAAAACTGCAACTTATCTGGATAATTTCCAGGCATGAAGATGGAGACTGGGTAGATAGTTGTGGAGGATGTCTAATCAAAGCTAATTGAGTTGATCTCATGATCAAGGGACATTGAAAAGCTCTACCATGAGTTATGGAACAACAACTGAAACAAGGTCCTTCTTAGTGAGAGGCTATTAGGATGACTATACAATCCATGAGTTGAAACTTCTGCAGAACTCTATCCAGGAGAGACCAGAGAGAGAAAGAGTAAGAGAACATACATGAACAATTCATGGATATAGCATCCAGTAGAAATACTTGAAAGGCTATAACTAATCTGAGGTACACTGTGAGTTTGTGGTTCAGGCCAGTAGCAAAGAAATCCAGTTTGAGAGTATCCTGACCAATGTTATCCATGCAAAATTCTCCTGATGGAGATGACATTCCATTGATACAATCCTCCCTCAATATGACTGACTGTCTGCCGGGATGTTAAATTTCCCCAGATTATTCCTCAGCACTATCCTGCTGTTGATCACTGCATGCACATGATTCTACAGATGGAAGATATCATTAACTTCTCAAATAGTTATGGGCATTTGGCAGTGAAAATTCTTAAAGAGTGATGGAAATACAGGATCACTAACATAAAAAAGGGATAGTATTCTTTGAATGATACACAAAAATAATTTTTGTTTGATGTTACAGACAGTTCATGACAAACAAAAGAAGAAGATAAACTCAACTGTCCTCTAGGCAGACAAGCTAAAAAATGCCCTTATCATATGTCATCATTTCCTTGATAAACCTTTTGTATCGAGATGTATTCTACAGGGAACAAGTCAAAAGGCCGCATGACAAAAGGGCCTCAAAACAGAAAAGTCAAAAGGGCCGCAAGAAAGTCAAAAAGGCCGCAAAACCCTAGTCAAAAGGGCCGCATCAAAAAGTCAAAAGGGCTGCATCAAAAAGTCAAAAGGGCCTCAGACCCCAAGTCAAAAGGGACCCATATAAAAAATATAATTATAACATCTTTTTTTAAAAGTATTTTAGTAAAAGGTTATACATAATAATAATAATATTCACAGGGTGTTTGACAAACCTCGTGTCATCTTACTGCTCTTCCAATGATATAATTTACAGAGAGCAGAAGGGAGCAAGAAAGGGATGTTGGGGGTGCAAGGATCAACTTCTTGTACAGAAAATGATTTTGGAAGAGGCTAAAACATATCACCGCAACCTCTCCATGTGCTGGATTGACTATAAAAAAGCATACGACTCTGTCCCTCACGAATGGATTCTGAAGTCTCTTCATTGTATTGACCTCCCTGAGCGACTACTTGATTTACTCAAGTCTTTAATGAGTTGCTGGTCGACTCAACTTGAGATGTACTCGCAAGGGCAGGTGCAGACTTCGGAATCTATTCCAATCAGAAGGGGAATATTTCAGGGGGATTCCTTTAGTCCTTTGCTTTTTTGTCTGTCTTTAAATCCTTTGAGCTTCCTGCTCAATAAAGAGGAGGGTTACCATCCCGGACCTCCTCAGATCCTGAACACCTCTTACTCATCTCCTTTACATGGATGACATCGAGCTCCTTGCCAAAGGAGATTCCAATTTGAAAGAGCAGGTTCTCCTTGTCAAGTCCTTTTCTAATGATATTGGCATGACATTTGGACTTGACAAATGTAATACTCTTCATTTGAAACGTGGCAAGGTAACTAATGATGGATCGGTCAAGTTACAAGGGGGAGGAGTTATTGAGCATCTTGTAGAAGATCAGGCCTACACCTATCTTGGAATGCAAGTTCGAGACAAGCTCCAGAATGCCCAGATTCAAGACAAACTTCGGGCCGAGTACAAATCTTGTTTAAAGAAAATCTGGAGCTCAGAGCTAAATGCTCGAAACAAGGTCAAAGCCACAAATACTTTTGCTGTGCCAGTCCTTTCCTATTCCTTCAGAGTAGTTGATTGGACAAAACAAGACATCCAGAGTCTGATAACAGAGCCCACCACCCTCGTTCCTCTCTTAACCGTTTATACATGCCAATCAATTCTGGAGGTCGGGGTTTGATTAATGTGGAGGCTCTTCATGATAGAATTTTATTGTGTACTTTTGCACATATTTATTTATCGGATGATCCTCTAGTGATGCATGTGAAGACTCATGATGAAAGCAAGGAATTCCACAGCTATTTTAAGCGTGCCAAGGTTGTTGGACAGAATCTGAGATTGCAGGTTGATTTTGTTGATGGCGATGTACTGCTGGATGGTACAGTGATGGGAGTAAACCAGGTGAAGTCCTTCACCAAGTCTGCCCAGAGTCGGTCTTTTGTGGAGAAGCTTTCTTAGAAGCCATTGCATCGTGTGTACATGCAGTGTGTGGAACAGAATAGCAATCCAACCGACTCTTTCGCCTGGATGAAGTCGGCTGGTCTTAAATGTGAAACTGAGGGCTTCCTTTTTGCTGCTCAGGACCAGTCACTTCCCACTCGCAATCGCCTAAATGTGATTCTTAAAGAAAATATCAATATGAAATGTCGACTTTGCAATGAATTCACGGAGACTGTCCAACACCTTGTCAGTGGATGCTCTTCCTTGGCACAAACATCATATCTTAAACGACATGATGGCATGGCTTGTTGCTTTTACTACCGTCTCCGACATGCCTGTGGCTTTGACTCCGAGGTCCATCCATGGTACGACCCTGAACATGTCCAGGGCGTCATGGAAAATGATGCTTTCAAACTTTTGTGGAATAGGCCCATATACAGCCTCAGAAGAATTCCAGCCAACAAACCTGATCTTGTCCTTTTTGATAAAGCCAATGAATTTATTTATATCATTGAATTTTCTGTCCTTTTTGACACCAATGTGATTGGCAAGATTCAGGAAAAGCATGCTAAATATGCAAACCTTGCCTTTGAAATGTCCCGCTTGCATCCCAAGTACACTGTCGCCAGGCTCCCCATTGTTCTCGGTGCCCTTGGTTTGGTACCTCCTGATGTCTTGGCGCAGATCAGGAGAGTGCCCGGGTTCTCCACCGGGAGCACAGCCCTTCTGACACTCTGGGTAATGCAGAAGGCTGCAGTGTTGGGGAGCCTTCATATTCTCCGGAAAGTTCTTGGTGGGTTCGACTAGGCAGTGTTTCCTGGGAGAAGTCCCATTCGCTGTTTGGGCTGTGTGTAGAGGGGGCTAGGGCCCTGAGCTGATGATGAGCCTTACCAGCCTGACTGTGCCAGGATCACCCGAACCCTCTCTGCTGCATGCATTTTTCATCTTTAATCTGTAAAACATAATAATAATAATAATAATAATAAAGCATATTTATAATGCGCACATATCCACGCTCAGAGCTTTCTATTTTCTTTCTAATGTTGAAAATAAATATCTATTAAAAACAGGGCTAGTATGCATAAAATATACATTGTAAATATGTATAACCTTTTGCTATAATACTTTTGAAAAAAGATGTTATAATTATATTTTTTATATGGGTCCCTTTTGACTTGGGGTCTGAGGCCCTTTTGACTTTTTGATGCGGCTGTTTTGACTTTTTGATGCTTTTTTGTAGTCAATCCAGCACAAGGAGAGGTTGCGGTGATATGTTTTAGCCTCTTCCAAAATCATTTTCTGTACAAGAAGTTGATCCTTGCACCCCCAACATCCCTTTCTTGCTCCCTTCTGCTCTCTGTAAATTATATCATTGGAAGAGCAGTAAGATGACACGAGGTTTTGTCAAACACCCTGTGAATATTATTATTATTATTATTATGTATAACCTTTTACTACAATACTTTTAAAAAAAGATGTTATAATTATATTTTTTATATGGGTCCCTTTTGACTTGGGGTCTGAGGCCCTTTTGACTTTTTGATGCGACCCTTTTGACTAGGGGTTTGCGGCCCTTTTGACTTTCTTGCGGCCCTTTTGACTTTTCCGTTTTGCGGCCCTTTTGTCATGCGGCCCTTTTGACTAGGACCCTATTCTACACATCACATTCTAACCATTTCAGCTTTCTTGCAAGTTCCACACCCAAAGAAGAATTTAGATTTTGTATGGCAAAGACATAGACAAAGATGAGTAACAAATTATTCATGCATCTGTCATGTGTATGTTATCTCCTTAAAACTGCACTAACCTCCCAATCAATATCTTTATTACAGACCATGTCCTGAAAGTCCTGATGTGATATGACACTTGTGGATACACTGTTACAGTTGATGTTCAGTGCAAGCTGCATCATGTCAGGTTCAGGATTGTCACTTCCAACCCATATACGATGTTTGAAGGGGGCTAGCCTCATCAAGTCCAAGTGATGCAAAACAAGTTCCTTGTTTCCTTTATGTTCATGCATTGCCTCCAGAACATCTTCTCTGGCATAAAAAGCCTCGCTATTCACTTCAGCATACTGAAACAAATTAACATACGAAAATCTGAACTAAATCAAGTGATACCATTCTATTTCTACTTGGTTCTTAACTGCATGTGTGGTTCATTTTCATACTATCACAATAAAAGTATTCAAACAGTACAAGCTTGCAAGGAGCAAAGGGGAATCCCTTTTCCCTCAAGATTTAATGAAAGGACAGCCACATAAATAGAGATCTGAAGAAATAGCAGCCAGTATGGTCTATATTGTTTTTTGCTGTTAAGTCGAGATTATTGTTCCACTAGTTCAGTTTTGAAGAGTGACATGTCTGGGATGAAACTCTAGTAGAAGCCTGGAGTTGCCGCCCTGCATATTGGGATGCTTTCTCTGGAATTAGTTAGCTGTCACTTTTTGTCCATAAATCAGCGATCATGGCATATTCATTTTGTAGGAGGAAAACACACTGAGTGCATCTTGACTCCTTTGAACTTTTTCTCATTCGGCACCTCCAGCATTATATGTGTTTGTCTTCTAGGGCCTTGAAGTGTCCACACATCTTACATGCAGCCGGGAATGGATGCCATCATGTTCCATTATACTTCCACCATTCAGAACTAAACAAAATCTTAGGTAACTTGAAACATGACATGTGATCCTGATGTAACCTGATGTTTTCCATTAATAAGAATACTGTGTCTATATGTTCAAAACATAAGACTTTGGTGACCCAAATGCTCATATTCTATAACATAAACTGATCTTAATGAAAACATTACTTACCAATTGTGTACGAGTGTTGATGCAGTACATAACAGCATCTTGGACACTGCCCTGTGATTCTTGTAATGCTCTCTTAGCTTCCACTGTTGATATAACACCTATATCATTCTGCTGGGATTCTTGGCTCGCATGAGACACCCTTGAAATCACATCATCCACATACTTCGCCCAAGTTTTATTCAGCCAGTCAATGACTATTTTGGTGTCTTTTCCACACTGCTCAAGGGCAATATGGACTTCCTCAACACCATACCCCTTTTGATCAGCTGACTGAAATATCAAGTAGAAAGGAATAAAAGTCTTGCATTGAAAAACAAATACGTGTAGAAAGTAAAATCTGGGTTGGATAGATGCTCATTTTCTCTTTCAAACAAGTTTACTTCATGCTTTTCTTCAATTAACTTTTGGAACTATACAAATATATGTGTACCAAAAATATCAGAATTCTTTTTCAATGAATTGAAAATGTTACACTAAATTGTATATTTAAATATGTATCCTATCTCATACTATGCATCTCATACTTCTAGTTCAATCCAGGAGTGGTAACATATCTGAAACAATTTTCCAACTCCCCAAAAACATCTCGCCAAACTCATCCCAAGAATACATGTCATGTGACTGTAACATTCTAGCACCTCACATGCAGCTTGGGTTATCCGGGGTAATAATAATCAGATTCTGATTACAGAGTCCAGTGAGCAACTAGTCAGATACTAGGCGCTATATAAATCAATTATCATTATTATGATGTTTTACAGATTAAGATGAAAAATGCAGCAGAGACCTTTCCGCAGAATATGTAGACTCCCCAACACTGCAGCCTTCTGCATTACCCAGAGTGTCAGAAGGGCTGTGCTCCTGGTGGAGAACCCGGGCACTTTCCTGATCTGCGCCAAGAGATCAGGAGGTACCAAACCAAGGGCACCGAGAACAATGGGGAGCCTGACGACAGTGTACTTAGGATGCAAGCGAAACATTTCAAAGGCAAGGTTTGAATATTTAGCATGCTTTTCCTGAATCTTGCCAATCAAAAAGGACAGAAATTCAATGATATAAATAAATTCATCCCCAAGGCTCTGACCACAGTCCGTTTGGGTTCAAAAGAGAATGATGAATGATTAAATAACTTGAAATATGGATAAGTCCACAAAACATAAATAAGAGTGAGTGAGTGAGTGTGGTTTTACCCTGCTTTTAGGAATATTCCAGCAATATCACTGCGGGGAACACCAGAAATGGGCTTCACACATTGTAGCCATGTGGGGAATCGAACCCGGGTCTCACTAACCCCAAAGCAGCTGCAGCTAATGCCAGGATAAAGACTGTTTTGAAAGTGATGTGTTCTAAATCCTTTTCAGTCAATGGTTCGTAATCCCTGGAAGCTAAATGACCTGAATACAACTGTGAGATTCCATGCATTGATGGAGATGATAAAGGTATGGGTCGTTCTCTTCAGATAAATGATGTGTTTATGACCATCAGTGGGGGAGACAATAGATGGAATGATGTTAGTCCCACGATTAGAGAAACAAGTCAAAACTGCCTGTCTTGATAAAGGAGATTGCTGAGCATCAGGAGTGAGTGAGTGAGTTTAAATTACGCCGCACTCAGCAATATTCCAGCTATATGGGGGCGGTCTGTAAATAATCGAGTCTGGACCAGACAATCCAGTGATTAACAGTATGAGCATCGATATGCACAATTGGGAACCGATGACATGTGTCAACCAAGTCAGCGAGCCTGACCACCTGATCCCGTTAGTCGCCTTTTACAACAAGCATGGGTTACTGAAGGTTCATTCTAACCCGGACTTTCATGGGTTGAGCATCAGGAACAAACTGGTGTTCATCCGAAGTAGCATTTTGTTGGGAAGAGCATTTAAAAGTATGAAAGCATTAAGTGAAAGTACAAGCTTGTCAAACTGAAAAGCCATACTTTTCTGAGGCAGATGTCAAGGCCTTCACAAAATTATCTGATAGTGGACAACCCTCAAGACTGGGTGCCATGAAGGTATCGATCCGTTGCTCCCTGCTGATATAGATCCCAAGCACAGAGGTGACGATGTGAATATTTTTAAATTTAGAAACAATTTTAACAATGCACAGTTTCTTACTGTGGCTAGTATTTGATATATTTGGGATTGTACTTTCTCAGTAAAGTACAGATTTTAGTACTTTTGGGCATTGGGTCCCATTCAGAATTTGAACCCACCCCTCTGACAAGTGTTAATGGGTTTTTGGTTGAGTCCCATCTGGGATTCAAATTGTATGTTCTTATATCTCAATGAAAAAGAAAAGCATCAGTCAAAACCTGTTTCCAGCCTGTTCTGAATGGAGCATATTTTTAATGTCATTTCATATCATGATATACCAGGCGTCATTGATAAAGGGTCAAATGATATATAGTACATGTAAAGAAACGTTTCTCAGAAATGATAGAACTAAGAGTGTCCTCATAATGTTCGATGTGTTGACAAATATGACACATCGTGACATACAGACAAAACGTTCAAACAGCACTAGCAAACATCAGTTGTATAGACCAACCCCCCAAAGTGACCTCAGTTGCATCTGCGATTCGCTCTCCATTGCGAGATATATCTTCTGCCGACCATCATGGAAGGTCAAATTGAATCTGCTTTCATCTGTGAAGAGTACAGGAGACCATTGACATTGATTCTAGCTGCCTAAATGTCTACTCGATCTCAAACGCATCTGCCTGTGACGTGTTGTTAGTGGGGACAAACTGTAGGTCCGGCGGGGACAAACTGCAGTCTGGCTGCCCTTGAACGGCGACGAACAGTGCTCCTGGATGTCTTTATATTGTTAACATTGAAGTGTTCTGTCTGAAGATCTGCTGTGTTAAGGAATCTGTTACGTAACGCAGTGTTAATCATGTGCCTATCATCTCGGACTGTTGTGACTCTGGGGCCACCTGGTTGATATGCATATTCCCACGGACCCATTGGCTTCAAATCTCTGCCACAGTCTACCAATAGCACTTACATTAAAGCAGACAGCAACATGCCGCTGAGTTTGACCAGATTCCAAAAGGCCTATAGCCTGATCCCTTTCAGCAAGTGTCCAAAAACGTTTCATTTTAAGCTGCAATTTCAAACAGGTACCTGAACATTTGTTGTATTTCGGATTACACTTTCTTAGTCAAGTACAGATTCTTGTACTTTTGTTGGGGGCATGATGTCATGGGTCATTGTTTCTACTACTGTCTTCGCCATGCCTGTGGCTTTGACGCCAAGGTCCATCCATGGTACGACCCTGAACATATCCAGAGCGTCATGGAAAATGATGCTCTCAAAACTTCTTTAGAATAGGTACATATACAGCCTCAGAAGAATTCCTGCCAACAAACCTGATCTTGTCCTCTTTGATAAACCCAATGAATTTTTTTTTAACCATGAATTTTCTGTCCTTTTTGTCAGCAACATGATTGGCAAGATTCAGGAAAAGCATGCTAACTTTGCGGGCCTTGCCTTTGAAATGTCTTGCTTGCATCCCAAGTACACTGTCGTCAGGCTCCCCAATGTTCTTGGTGCCCTTGGTTTGGTGCCTCCAGATCTCTTGGTGCAGATCAGGAGAGTGCCCAGGTTCTCCACCGGGAGCACAGCCCTTCTGACACTGGGTAATGCAGAAGGCTGCAGTGTTGGGGAGTCTACATATTTTCCGGAAAGTTCTTGTTGGGTTCGACTAGGCAGCATTTCCTGGGAGAAGTCCCATTCACTGTCTGGGCTGCGTGTAGAGGGGGCAAGGGCCCTGAGCTGATGATGAGCCTTACCAACCTGACTGTGCAAGGATCACCTGAACCCTCTCTGTTGTATTTTTCATCTTAATCTATAAAACATAATAATAATTTATTTATAAAGTGCCTCATATCCACCATAGAGATGCTCAGTGGCGCTGTGACAATATTGGGGAAGGAAATAGTTCATATGGGTTTTACTGAAAGGCAGCAGTGAACAAATGGGGTTTTAGCAGAGATTTAAACATTTCTTTTGATGAAGTGTTCCTGATTTTCTTTGGAAGACAGTTCCACAGTTGAGGGCTTGCAAAGGAGAAGGCTCGGTCAGACAGTTGGTTTGGAGATCTGTGTTGGATGAGGAGAGAGTCACAGGAGGATTGGAGACTTCGCTGGGATACATACACAGAGACGAGATGTTTGAGACAGTCGGGAAAGTTATCGTTGTAGAGGCAGTCATGAGTCAGAATGAGGATTTTGAAGGTAATTCTTTCAGAGATGGGGAGCAAGTGAAGAGACTGTAGTACTGGGGTGATATGGTCTCGAGTGTGGGTGATACATCTAGCAGCAGAATTTTGGATTCTTTGTCGTTTCTGGAGTGATTTAGCAGAAAGCTTGGCATATAGGGAATTACAGTAGTTGAGAAGTGACAAGACAGTGCATGAGAAGTTTACAGGTGTCAGTATCGAGGTAGTGGTGGACTTTGCTGATATCATGGATGTTGAAGTAGCAGGATCTACTGATTGCGGTGATGTGTGCATCAATGGACATGTTGGAATCAAGGATGACACCAACATTCCTGGCACTCTCTGATGGTGAGACTTCTGTGTCACCAAGTGAAGGTGATGGCAAAGCAGTCTTCAACTTTATAAGCTGATGTTTGGAGCCAATGAGTAGGAACTCTCTCTTCTCCTCATACAACATCAAATAGTTGGAGATCATCCATGATTTGATTTCCTGAATGCAGAGCTCAAGTTTGTTGATACTGAGTGAAACATCATTTGATTCAAAGGCAATGTAGAGTTGTGTATACTAGTATATGTGGAAACCAATATGTTGCCCCCTGATAATGTCACCAATGGGGAGAATGTAGACTGTGAACAGAAGGGGCCCAAATCTCATCCCTGGGGAACACCATATAACAATGGTGACTTTGATGATTGTACATCTCCAATTTTGACAAATAGTGTGTGACCTCACAAATATGAGGAAATCCACTTGAGCGCAGTTCCTGTTATCCCAATGTGACTTTTAAGTCGATGCAGAAGTAAGGTATGATCTATGGTATCGAATGCGCTGGATAGGTCAAGGAACGATTCCATGAGGTGCTTTTTCTCAAGATGTGCCCTCAGTTTGCCATCTACAACTTTATCTAAACATATAGATACAAATAAAGGTTGGAAATTGGACAGAAACTTTTCAAATAGTTTTCATCAGCTCCAGGTTTCTTTAGAACTGGCATGACAATTGCATGTTTAAAAACACTCGGGAACAGTACCAGAGGAGAGTGATGAGTTCATAATGTCCCAGACTGCAGGTACTAAACGGTGTAGCACACACTTGAACAGCCAAGGAGGAATGGGATCCAGTGGTGAAGCTTTCAAGATCAGTTCTAACCAAGATCTTTACAGGTGCTGTAAGTTTTAGTAACATATACCAACTTAAATGACAAAGTACAATGTTGTCTTTCAGTGGCATTTAGAAGTTGTACATTGATGTCCAAGATATTTTTATGGATTAAACTTCTTTCAAATTTCCCTCACGACTTTTTCGAGACCATTCCAGGTTCCTTCATCAGTTCACCTGATATAGGACCTGGAATGGTCTCGAAACGTTGTGAGGGAAATTAGAAAGAAGTTTAATCCATAAAAATATCTTGGACAAAATACAATGTGTTTAAAGAGTCTGGGTCCTTGAGAGAATGCTTTATCCACTAGGCTACAACACCGACCTAGCTGCTAATCAAATGGCCAGAGTGAGTGAGTGAGTTTAGTTTTATGCCACACTCAGCAATATTCCAGCTATATGGCGGCGCAAATGGCCAGAGCAAACGCCTCTCTGAATTCCACAAGCCAAAACTGTGAAACAGTTAATACTTCATGCATATGCATATTTTGCATGATACTTCAGCCATTTTCCTTTTTCAAATTAAGGAACTAAGAAGTTTTCGCCTGTTTTAGGCAACTTGACTGAAGTCTTTGAATGGCATTTACAAGTGATACACATTAAAAGGTAAGAATTTATGGATGTCGACTTCTATATTATGTGGAACACAATGTTTTGGAGAATATTCTTATTCCTTTATCACATGAATGAAAAACTAGGAAGCAGATAACTATATAAGTGCATGTGAAACAACAGTGATATGACAACAATAAAGGAAGCCAGTAGTTAATTGGTGCAGATTGGTAATGGCAATGAACAAATAGAAGCCAGGAATTCCTGATGAAGGAGTAAGAATGTCCTGTTCCTCATAATAAAGAAGTTAATATCCATACTTTATCACCCTTTAACTTGACAAAACTCAGAGTAGAACTAAGAATCGTAATGTGATTATTTTATTATAATGATAAGCTTCAAGAAATCCAGTTGCCATTACATTAATCACTGACCATATTTATACTGTGTCAAAAAGGGCAGAAACATGAAATGATGGAGACAGAATAATGATTACCTTTATAACCTGCAATAAGTCAGCCCCATCGAGTTGTGTCTTTTTCATATGTCTTTGTTCATTGATGTTCTCCATTGTCTCTTGGAATGTAGATTGTCTACTTTGAAAACTGTGTTCACTGCCCAATTCCTCATGAGTCAGATGTGACTGGTTTTGATCAATAGAGTCATTTACTGCTGACTTCTGATAATCAGATATCTGTACAGAGACATTATTGCCATAAATGCCTGTTTGAGGACTGTTCATTCTGCTGCTTGTTGACTGTTTTGTTGATTCTGACCCTTGTTTCCCCCTGGAATCCTTAAGTAATCTCTCTTCATACTGACGATGAGCTTCCTGTTTTTCTAAGTACACCTGTAATCCAAATGAAGCACAGTGTCATGTAATATGTCATCATACAATGATAAGTCATATACCAGCACCAGAAAAATAGAAAACGAAGAATTACTTTGGGTTGCTCAAAGGGTAAACAAGAGTCATCATAAGATGACAAATCCCCCCCAGGCCCCACAATTTTGAAAGAACAAATCATCTGCCAGTTACTTAAACTCCAACTAAGTTCAAATCGTTTCCATGGAAATCAAGAAAAATACAAATGCTAAAAATCTGCAAATAGCAAAAGTCACCACTTCAAGATCTGATTGATAGATCTATCAAGTCTTGTTGAAAGATATTGAACGTTTCGAGTTGTGCTCTGGAAACGAAGTCCAACCATCCCTTTTGAAACCAAGTCCAAATTGTTTCCATGGAATTTAAGTAAAATAACAATGCCAAAAAATCTGTAAATAGCAAAAGGCACCACTTTCTTTAGGATCTGTTTAATATATAGGCCAAGTTTTGTTGAAAGATATTGAACGGTTTTCGAGTTGTGCTCTGGAAACAACACCTACCTCCATTTCAGCTACAGTCCGTTTGGCTCAAAAGCGGACCGATGAATTGCAATCTAACTCCGAAAACTAATAAACATAACATACTCAATGAAACGCTGATCATAATCAAAACATCATACCCACTCTGTGAGGTTTGTGCAGAATTTTTGTCCTAAAAATAATAAAGTTGTTTAACAAACTATCATTAAAATATTGACACAGTTCACTGTTTGTTACGAGGGAGGAGTGCAGAGAAAGGGACAGCCAGGTGTTCGAGAAGAACGTTCACAGACAAAGTTATTTATTCATTAACCTGTGCTGTGCCGTCTCCATCCTTTCTCGAACACCTGGCTGTCCCTTTCTCTGCACTCCTCCCTCGTAACAAATAGTGAACTGTGTCAATATTTTAATGATAGATTGTTAAACAACTTTATTATTTTTAGGACAAAAATTCTGCACAAACTTCACAGAGTGGGTATGATGTTTTGATTATGATCAGCGTTTCATTGAGTATTTTATGTTTATTAGTTTTCGAGTTAGATTGCAATTCATCGGTCCGCTTTTGAGCCAAACAGACTATAAGTCTAACATGGAAACAGGAACAAATCAAATTTTGAAAAATTCCTAAATAGCAAAAGGCACCACTTCCACTCCATGGTTAATACATGTGCCAGGTTTGGATGATAAAAATAAAATAAAAATTCTAGTTATGCTCCGAAACTGAAATCCACCTCTCTTTTTTCGACTCAGTCCAAATTGTTTCCAAGAAAATTGAGAAAAATGATAATGCCAAAAATCTGTAAAGAGCAAAAAGGCACCACTTTTCCGTTTGATGTGTCCACCAATTATTGTTGACAGACAGACGGACGGACAGACAGACTATACCCCACATTATATGTCTGGGGGATAAAAATATTCATATTGATGTAAACCAGCCTGAAACTACTGTATCATACCAGCACTGCCTCAATTTAGCTTGCCACCTTCCATTGGTGCTCTAAACTGCCCTGTGAGTTTCATACTCAGCAAAAGTTACTGTCAGTTTTCATAGTCATATATTCTATGCATTATTACTGAGGGTTAAAGACATTCAATAGATTTTAACAAAACATGATCACTATCAAAAGAGTGAATGAGAGGGTTAAGTTTCATACAACTTTGTACATCACAGTGCCATCTTCATGTGGGAGGAAAGCTCAAACTAATACAGGTCTCACTAATATATCACTTTATACACATATAGACTAACACTATTTGCTTATTTCTTCATTCTCCTGAAATGTAGTGGAACCTTCCTGTGCTGTGCTCACAGTGAAACAGAAATACATCTCAACCAAATGCAACTTTACCCCGCTCAGGCACACTTTAACCATGTGACCAATCAGGTCTCATCACTTTTCCATTTGGTCCGAATCATACTTTTAGGGTAGAGTGGTTACGGTTGGGAGGGAAATGTAGTGTATGAGTGAATGGGTGAGTGAGTGAGTTAATATATAGGGTAACATTGGCAATATTTCAGCCATATCGTGATGAGAACAATTTAATTGATATCAATATTAAAATCAAGAAATTTAGAATGTAAAACATCGAAGGACAGTAAAAATACTAAAGTATCACAGATATATATTTAAAACTAGTACACTATCGTAAATTTAAATCACATAGACAGTATAAAATAAAAACGGGGTTGGGGGGGGGGCCTTATAGATCACCAACAACTGAAGGTTGATCACCATACTAGGGTCCATTGGGACTTACAGTACTTTTGCCACCTGCATGGACCCCAGCTGGATTTACACCATCCCTTTAGCCACTAGCGACTGTGCTGTGTAGTGTATGTGTCAAGTTAGTACAAAAGAATATGTTTGCCCTAAAAACTACATTTGTTCCCTTTTTCTGACTCATACCAACTGCTTGAATCTGACAGAAGGTGGTGGACTCCATACAAATGTGTATATCATGATTTGCTTCTTAAACCTCAGGGGAACATGATTTTCTTCTTATGATTCTCTTTGTTTATGTAAAGTACCACTTTTCGTTTTGGTAAAAAAAAAAGCGAATTTCTTGTGGACTTGCAGAGAATTAATTCCAGCTCATCTTAAAACTACTTTCAAGTTAAGAATACGACGTGAACTTAACAGAATTGTCTCACTCATATTCTGACTGCCAAAGTGACAGTGCTTAGGAACAGTAACCTGACTTGAGTCTACAGACCTAGACAGAAACCTCAGAGTCAATTAGATCTTCGGTGTAATCTGTGTAATAGGTTTGTTGTCTTCTTGTTCCCTCTTAAGATCCATAAGGTCTTGTGAGTGGGTGCCTCCCAATCTTTTGATATAGGCCACTACTGTGGCATTGTCTGTAGTGAGGAGTCTTGCACACTCCAACGGGGTGATGACTTAGCATAACATCACTGCCACAGGCTAATTTGCATGTCACGTGACCAGACTTTTCTCTTGTTTGTAAACAAATGCATAAATCAGGAGAGACTGACCTTAAGCAGGCTTTTCAGTGCACTCTTCATATTGTATTACATTGTTATATAGATATTCTTCTACAATTGTGACAGTCAGATTCATGACAATACATATTTATACCATCAAAGTTACTCCATCACTTGCTCTGCATAGAGATTCGTTGACAGCATCGTGGAACCGCATAACCTATGTAACCAAAGGATCGCTATGCAAATCAAAATAAATAAATAAATAATGTTACATGTTTTTTTATATTTTCTCAGTGAAAGTAAACCATTCTATCAAAGAATATTAAGCACATGTGTAGACTCGTAAAAAATGAAAGCTCTAAGAAATATATACAATATATTGAATGGACTGTGCAAGATGTGATTAATCGTCACATCTCTCTGGCCTGTGGCAGAGGTACTATGCTGGTTGCATGGGTACTCTGGGTAGGAGAGTGGAGTTCCTGGGTATTGATGCCCAGTGACTGATAGCTAATACCACTGCTCTCTTTTCCAGTATATTGATATGGACTGGTGCTTGTATCTCCCAGTGACCTGATGCCTTCATGTCTTCTAGATTGGCTTGCCAGGCTGTGACCGAGGTATGCGTGAAGAGAGGACGATCTACCAACAGCATCATGATTGATGACAAGTGTATGATGTTCTCAGGGTTCATCCACTATGCGAGGTCCCTGAACACAAGGTCTGTAGGTGTTATGATAGAGTCTAGCTGCTGACCTCGATGATGATTTATCCACTACTGAAAGTATCTGAGATACAAGTGGCCTCTGAATTTGAGATCCTGCATAGATGTCAGTGGTCCCAAAAGTGACATCCATTGTCTGAGAGCATGCTGAGAATGTTGGAATTTGGATATTCTAGTTAAGACGCCTTGGTATCGTTCAAACGGTGGATAAATGATACCTTGAGGCATGTCTCAAGTACTTTCTTGGGTTGCAGCTGATTTTTTCAGGATTGACTAGGAAACCCAATTGTCTAAAGAAATCCTGGAGATAAAGTGATTTGTCTTAAGCCTCATCTATGATGATCGGTGAATTCTGACACGCTGTAGATGGAGATATGCCAGAACTGGGGCTGTTATCGTAAAAAGCCTCGCAGCTATTGATATTCCAAATGGTAGGACCTTGAATTGGAATAGTCTCTCGTTGATGGTAGATATTTCTGAGAGTCTGGATGGATAGATACATAGAGAATATTACACGAGGTCTCATTACATACAGATTATATGAAACGAGTGTCTTTCCTATGGTATCTGACCGAGCGAAAGCAAGGTTAGATAACATAGGAAGGTCACGAGTTTCGTATAATTCGTATGTAATGAGACCGAGTGTGGTATTTTATTTATTACCCATGTCTTTCATGCATTAAATTGACAAAATAGCGTTCTTTGTTATTTTTTGGTTTCAAACCGAAACCGGTTTCATAAAGAGGTTGCGGAAGAGTTTTGTACTGTAGTACAATATTTATATGACGTCACACTGTAATGACGTCACTGCCTTGGTAACAGATGTCAGGATGCATGTCAGTTGCCATCGCCTCGTACAGCCTCCTACAGTAAACTACTCCGTAGCACCCTGTTTCTTGGTTTGCAGGTGCTTCATTCGGCTAACATCACTGGTGGAAACATTCCGTTTATGTTTTTCGACGGATATAATGTCTCAGTTCGACTCACAATTAAACAGCGACACGGCAACGTTCGCAATGTTTACATTCCCACAATGCATTTAAGTTATAGAATGAATGAATTCACGTGTTCGTTATGAATGAAAAAATAGTTACGTCAGAATGTGACCTAATTGAGAGGTCATCGGTTATCCAATCAAATCGTTAGAATCTCAGGTCAAGTCGTTACGACACAGGTCAACGCGATACGACACTCGTGTGACGTACGAGATTAGTATGCAACTACCCATACGTTGACCACGTGGGTAATAAATAGAGTTATGTAACCTTCAGATCTAAGGAGATCATAGAGTCCTCTATGGAGATTGTCTGTCTGA